GCCTCAGGAATAGCAGCAGAGTTGGGTATTCCTTTAACCCATAGAGGCGTTGCAAATAGTGTCAGATTTCTCACAGGTCACTCAAGAAAAGGGGGAACTGATCCTCTTTTTGTTGCAGAGAATGCAGCTGACCCTGATTCAACTTTAGTGGTTTATATGGGCTTATCAACCCTCCCGTCTCTAGCATTAAAGTTGATACATCATGGTCTACCACCAGACACACCAGCAGCTGCAGTTGAGCGAGGAACCACTCCTCAACAGCGCATGGTAAGCATATGTTATATGTGATGTGTGTATTTTCCAATTGATATTTCAAACTTTTAAACTAAATGTCCGTTATTTGATTTACAACCTTGAGGGGGGAGAAATCACTTGAATCATTTAAACACGATGTCAGAGGGGACTCTTAATTTCCTTGTATAAGGATGTGCATGATAAATATAAAATTTTATGCCAACATAAAATTTGTATAGTTACGTAATTACTGAACAGAATAAATTCCCAGTCTATTTTGTGCTGGTATAAAAGTGGAAATATAGTTGGTACAATGACATTGGTATAAATTTTGTATTATTATTTATTTTGTCAAAAATAGAATAAAATCCCAGTCTACTTTCCATGAGATTTTAAATCTTGTTTTGATGGTGCCAACTAATTATAGTTGTTTTTGCAATGATACAGGTCTTTGCAGAAGTGAAGGATCTTGCTGATAAAATTAAAATGGCAGAGTTAGTGTCACCAACACTAATCATTATTGGGAAGGTTGTTGCACTTTCACCATTCTGGCGGCAGTCTTTGAAAGAAGAATCCTGTTTGGTTGAGGCCTAAAAGATGTCTATGAGGCAGCAGCTTAAAAAGTTCTAATTATGAGGTTGATCAGTTTATTTTGGGATGCAAAGAACAAGTGAGGGGTCAATTTCTCGGCTGCTTCAAGATGTAGGCACAAGCAGTTTTGGTTTCTTGGACTTGTTAATTTTAACAAGCAGCACCAAATATCGGTACAAATCTTGTTTAAGAACTTGTTTAAAATCAGTTGAATTTCTTTCTGGGAATTTATATATTTCATGGAATAGAGCTGGTTGCGTTGCTGCCTCCAGTCAACCGGAAAATGTAGCCTTCTGTTCTAACATTTTACATTTGAATTCTTCTGAATGAAGAGTAATTTCATAAAATTTTGTACTTTCAACCAATGACTAGTAACATTTGTTACTCAGTAAATGTTGTTGAGGCATAAATTTATTTACACGATCTTCTTTCTGAGTCAATTTTGTAAAGTTAAAAATACTCAGATGTTACGGCAATGTTCTGTTGTTTTGTTACATTATAGCTGCACAGTGTTGGCTCTCTTAAAGCAAGTTCAGTAACTTGAGTAATATGTGAGCTTGTCTCCCGCAGCCTCTTGTTTCTTAGTTCTTACAAAGATCCTGCCTTCTGCTGACAGCTGTAGAAATTGGCCTCAGCCCAAGTGTACAGTCTACAACAAATATATTGTTTTTGTCTTCTTTTTTCTCTCTTTAATTAAGTAATATATTCAAAGATACAACAACGAACAAAACATCATCTGTTCCTGAACAGAAGAATCAATACAGGCAAACTAAAAGGAAAAGTTGATAAAAAAAAAAAACTCCGATACCAAGTGTTGGAACCAATAGCAGACCATAAAAAAAAAAAAAAAAGACTTCCACTTGACCCAATTGGAATCGTTAGATTTTGCGTGAGTCTGCTATGTAAAACTCCATGCAAAGTCTGTCTGGTATCTTCACAACTCACTCTTCCAGAAATACTGATTACAAGCGTGATAGATATGAATTAACAGGGACGTAGCTCACCACAATAGGAGCTCCTTTGACTTTGGTTTCAGTTTTCTCCGATGACCATTTCTCCATGCTGGCAACTTGTGCATCATCAGAAACTCGCGAGGAGGTTTGGGCAGAAAGCAACTTAAAAAAGCCGAGACTGAGAAAAGAGACATTGCGGTGCGTGTCGTGAATGTTGATTAATTTGTTGAATGAATTGAATTGATGTAGTGGGTGCTTACTGCTTTGCTTAGCTGAGTAAAAGCAGGGACGAGAGACTGAGTTGCAAATACCTGAAGGGTAAAGTCTTCTATTTATAGGGCAATAAAATAAAAAATGGAAATGTTGTTGATAATTGATATGCTTGCAGACCAAGGAGAAAACACCAAACACCTTGGGCTTCAAGGCTTCTTGTCAGCTGCGGCCGTGGTTCGACCAAAAGTCAAGGATCCAGTGTGGTTAGGACGAAAGTTCCAAACACTCTCTTGTCGCACCGCAAGGTAAATAATGCATCAAGTGGAGTTGCTTGCTTGTCTGGTCAAGAAAATTTGTCAAGAACAAAAGTACAAGTATTTGATATGATCCTGCCAAATGTCGGTCACAATTTACTTGGATACTACCACCAACTGGCAATTACAACTCAATTTTATTTTTGGGTTCAATTTTATCTATCTTAATTTTATTATATTGTTTGATGCAAAACTCATGCATATGGCAAGTTAGTCAATGATATTATACAGTAGCAATCAAGTAGGGAGGAATACTGCAGATTGCTGACAAGCTTCTCCACTTTTATAGATATGTTGATCATATTTGGACACTTCAATCCTTATTTTAACATAAATAAAAGTAACTTTGAAATGGTGAGTTTGAACTTGCAATCGATTCTTATCAAAATTTATACTATATAGTTTTGCAAAATATTGTATATAATAATATAATACTCAAGGCGGCTTTTTTACTTTAGAATGATTTTAACAAGAATTTTATCCGAGGAACGGATATTTTATGTCATAATTTAGGAATTTAAGCAATTTGTCTACCTCAGAATTTCTAAGTAAAAGGAAAACATAAATGTCTTTGAATTTATTCTCGAAATTGTGAAATAAGGATACACAAACACAATGCAAATTTACAGAAATACAATTTAAACAAAGACTACAATATGATACTGAGGTTCTCATTTACACGCCAACATATTATTAGTGGGATTTGCGTCGGTGATGAGCCATTCACCGTGAAGCATGAGTTGCAGTCTGAATGAATTGAACAACCATGATGAATAAGTATCTTCTTGGTACAACTACAAGCGAGAGGTATACGAATTGGCAGGAAAGTAGGAAACTATGACTGGAGCTTTGGATGATTTCCGTTTGGAAGAAGAAGACGACTTTTTGACAAGATTTGCGCCATTTGCATTGTCAGAGACTCGTGATGATGGCATCAAACATCTGAAAATGGCGGAGAGCGGGAAGAAAACCATTGGTGTTTGCTTGTGTTGTGTGTTGCAGAATATGAATTAGTGAAAGGCTTTGTATGCTTAGATGGAGATGAAAATAATGGGAGATGGACGGAGATGCTCCTTGATTTTAATATATAGTGGGATGAGGCGTGTGTGTTACAATTCAATCGACTTGCGCGACAAGCTAAAGACTACAGAGATAATGTTTTCCAAGTTCCAAGATGGTTCCCTTGCTTTCCTTAAAATATCAAGCTTTTGCTGACTTTTGCCACCTGCTACTGCCTCTTGTCCAATGATTGCAAAAGCCCAAAGTGGTCAAGAACACGTGGTAGAGCAGCTTCACTGGACTGGACATCTGAAACACTGAAACATCATTAGGAAACATACGTATCCATCTATCCATCTCTCTGTTCGAGTCTGGGACGAGAAACACTGTCAACTTCCGACCAAAAAAACTCTTTTAACTGTTGCTTGTCTCAACCCTCAACTGAACTGATGCTTTTGGCTTCTATTTTTCTCTCAAATAAAGCACGGTAATCTCATTAGCTTATTGGTGTACTACAGTAGTATTATATTTAGCAATCTTCTTCCAATTTTTCTGACTTCTTAAGTATATCATTTTGATCAATAAACCCATAAATCTTCCTTTACTTTCAAAATCATTTTGCAATTGCATGATGATGCTGATAACTATATATATATATATAGTTTTCGGTTTCAGTTGCAAACACAGAATCTCACCCTGACATCCTCTCTGTTAAAATCCTCCTGAGAACTCCCTGTGTTTGGTTGATGGCTCTAGGAAAGATATAGACAGCTGGATATTCAGAATCCAACCTTGTAAAATGGCTCTAACCTCTAAGCAAAGTATCACGAAGCTGGAATCCATCGAGATTGAACGCAAACTTCTTCTATGCACTCTTTTCTTTTGCTTTTTTTTTTCAGTGCGAGATGAACTCATAATCGCTTAAAAACCTCTCCACCCTTCTTTTCTTCATGGTACAGCTGGTTGCCTTGTTTTAATTAAGGCTGTTCTTAGAATCAAACGACTTAATTATGCAGCCCGAGGATAGTCATTATGAGGGTGAGGCTAACTTAATCAAAGATGGAACTAAGTTGGCTACACACTTTGACAGTGGTTCAGGTTGGACCAAATCTGAAAGTACAATAATAAACCAATGTTAGTTACTAGTACAAGAAAAGAAGAGAACATACATAGTAAGTGACACGAAAGGCGTCTTTTGGCTTAGGCGCTCCTTGCTTTTTCTCCCTTTCAGCTCACTTTGTACCTATTATAACTCTTTCTTGCATTTGTCTTTGCTGTGCACGGAAGAAAGGAATGCCCATGAGCCATATCAGACTTAATTAAATTCTTAAATTCATTTCCATTCTATTGGCCAGCATACCTTGACTAAATGCTAAAAGGATTCACAGTAAAATATTGTTTCTAAGATTGGCAAATAGAAATAAATCTGAAATTGTGTGACTTGTTAATTATATGTTGGGGAGCTATGCTGTAAATTGTGGTAATCCTGAGACAACAGCCCTGGATGTGAGTTATGGGAATCACATAATCTCTGAAACAATTTAACCTTGTTCACATCGGAGGGGAAGGGCAAAAGCATAACGAAATAAGATCAGTTTCAGCGCTTAGCACAGGTACTGTGCAGTAGTCAATCTCACTAAGCAAAGTATCTCTTTATCATCTCAGATATGGCTTCAATTGACATTAATTACACGTTTCGAAGTTCGGTCACTGAGTGGTAAAACTCAAAGAATTTCAACAACAAGCATTCACAAATAGTTAAAGAGTGCCAGATATTTATTGCAGAGACAAAAAGGAACATCAAACGTTCACTTTCTCAATTCTTCGATTTTATGCTTTCCCTCCTTTCTTACTTGCAATCAGCAGGGTTCCACTGAACTCAAAGTAAGCTTCTCCAACAAAGCATTCCTTTCTTCAACAAGACGATGCTAGCAGAGAACCTTAACTATTCCATCTTTTTATCTTCTCCTTCCTTCTTAGAACTTCTTTGCTTCAGAATCGAGTTTGAGATTTCTTGTGAGGAGCTACTACGTTAGCTTCTTGCAGCAGCAAGCAACCCAGAAAAAGGAGTATGAAACTGGTTGTTGAAGTTGTGGATGCTCATAATCTTATGCCCAAAGATAGTGAGGGGTCTGCTAGTTCATTTGTGGAAGTTGATTTCCAAAACCAACTAAGCAAAACTAAAACCGTTCCTAAAAACCTCAACCCTGTTTGGAATCAGAAACTTTTCTTCGATTTTGATGAAACCAATGACTGCAATCACCAATCACTAGAGGTCTCTGTTTACAATGAAAGGAGACCTGTTCCGGGTCGAAATTTCCTTGGTAGGGTAACAATTCCTTGCTCGAGCATTGTCAGAAAAGGCGAGGAAGTCTATCAACAATTTCAACTAGAAAAAAAGTGGTTTCTCTCATCTGTCAAAGGTGAGATTGGCCTGAAAGTCTATATCTCATCAGAATCTGAAACAAAGTCCCCTCCTCCCTCCCCGCCACAAACCCCGCTGTGCAATCAACCACTACCATCATCACCACCAACTTCAGCCCCTGTTTCAGATAACACCAACTGCAAAACTTTAGCAGCTCACCAAAAAGCGGTTGTTGCTGTTGGCACTGCCAAATCTAGTTCTTCCATTGTTCCGATTCAGAAATTCAGTTCTTCTACTGCAGCAACCGGTTCGAGAGGTAGTGATCCTTCCAAAGCGCTGAAGGAAGAGATCAAAAAATCCAGTGAAGGGACAGTAGAGATAACTCCGTACGTACATAAACACCAAGCACTGCAACAAACAAGCCTACCAGTGGAGAAAAGGGCACACAGCGTGCAGTTTACCATGCAATCTGTGAATGCAAAAGCCCAGCCTGGTGACCAAGAGGACTATAATCTGAAGGACACCAATCCCCAGCTTGGTGAGCGATGGCCTAATGGTGGAGCTTATGGAGGAAGAGGATGGATGAGTAGTGAGAGATTCACGAGCACTTACGATCTTGTTGAGCAGATGTTCTATTTGTATGTGAGGGTCGTAAAAGCCAAAGATTTTCCTCCCAGCTCCGTAACTGGAAGCTGCGATCCGTATGTGGAAGTAAAGCTGGGGAACTACAAGGGAAGGACAAGGCATTTTGAGAGGAAAATGAACCCTGAATGGAACCAAGTGTTTGCCTTCTCAAAGGACCGTGTTCAATCCTCATTACTAGAAGTTTTTGTGAAGGATAAAGAAATGGTGGGCAGAGACGATTACCTTGGAAGAGTAGTTTTCGATTTGAATGAGATTCCAACGAGGGTTCCACCCGACAGCCCATTGGCTCCGCAATGGTACAGACTAGAGGACAGGCGTGGAGAAGGAAAGGTAAGGGGAGACGTGATGCTTGCTGTTTGGCTGGGAACTCAAGCTGATGAAGCATTTCCAGATGCATGGCACTCAGATGCTGCCTCAGTCTATGGAGAGGGTATTTCTAATATCCGATCAAAGGTTTATGTGTCACCAAAACTGTGGTACCTAAGGGTGAATGTGATTGAAGCGCAGGATGTACTGCCCAATGACAGAAGCCGCCTCCCAGAAGTTTTTGTAAAAGCACAGATCGGAAACCAAGTGCTCCGAACCAAGATATGCCCAACTCGCACAGCCAACCCACTCTGGAATGAAGATTTAGTTTTTGTAACGGCTGAGCCTTTTGAGGAACAGCTTTTCATCACTGTTGAGGATCGAGTACACCCTTCAAAGGAGGATGTGTTGGGGAAGATAAGCCTACCACTCAGCGCATTAGAGAAGCGGCTAGACCACCGCCCAGTGCAATCTCGCTGGTTCAATCTCGAGAAATACGGTTTTGGTGCCCTGGAAGCTGATAGGAGGAAAGAACTCAAGTTTTCCAGTAGGATTCACCTGAGAGTTTGTCTTGAAGGTGGATACCATGTGCTGGATGAGTCAACAATGTACATTAGTGATCAACGACCAACGGCAAGGCAGCTTTGGAAACAACCAGTTGGGATATTAGAAGTGGGCATTTTGGGTGCACAAGGGCTCCTCCCAATGAAAATGAAGGATGGCCGAGGGAGTACAGATGCCTATTGCGCCGCTAAGTATGGCCAGAAGTGGGTTCGTACCAGAACCATTCTTGACACTTTCAATCCCAAGTGGAACGAGCAGTATACGTGGGAAGTTTATGATCCTTGCACAGTGATAACATTGGGAGTTTTTGACAACAGCCACTTGGGGGGTGGTGAGAAACCAACAGGGAGCAATGCAGCACGAGATTCACGAATTGGAAAGGTACGAATTCGGCTATCAACTCTAGAAGCCCATCGGATTTATACGCATTCTTATCCACTGCTCGTCTTACACCCACATGGAGTGAAGAAAATGGGCGAGCTCCAACTAGCATTTCGATTTACAACTCTGTCACTTGCTAACATGATCTACATTTACGGGCACCCCTTGCTGCCTAAAACGCATTATCTACATCCATTCACAGTCAATCAAGTAGACAATTTGAGATACCAAGCCATGAATATTGTTGCAATGCGGCTTGGCCGAGCTGAACCACCTTTGAGAAAAGAGGTGGTGGAATATATGTTAGATGTGGATTCTCACATGTGGAGCTTGAGAAGAAGCAAAGCTAATTTTTTCCGGATCATGTCACTCCTCTCTGGTATCATTTCTGTGGGTCGATGGTTTGGCGATGTTTGCGATTGGAAGAACCCCATCACATCTGTCCTAGTTCATATTCTATTTCTAATTCTGATTTGGTATCCGGAGTTGATTCTCCCGACTCTATTTTTGTACATGTTCCTTATAGGAATATGGACCTACAGGTTCCGCCCAAGGCACCCACCTCATATGGACACAAAACTTTCATGGGCAGAGGCGGTACATCCAGATGAGCTAGATGAAGAATTTGATACCTTTCCAACTTCCAAATCCCATGATATAGTTAGAATGAGATATGATCGGCTTAGAAGTGTTGCAGGGAGGATTCAAACGGTTGTGGGTGACATAGCAACACAAGGGGAGAGATTTCAGTCTCTGCTGGGGTGGAGAGACCCCCGAGCTACCAGCCTTTTCATTGTTTTCTGTCTTTGTGCAGCTGTAGTGCTGTATGCGACCCCATTTAGAGTGGTAGCTCTGCTTGCTGGTCTGTATTACTTGCGGCACCCCAGGTTCAGGAGCAAGCTGCCATCTGCACCCAGCAATTTCTTCAAGAGGTTGCCCGCTCGAACAGATAGCTTACTGTGATACTGATATCCATACTAGTTGTCTCAAGGTGTGCTACAGCCTACAGGATAACATCGATCCTAGATTAACTGCTTTCTTGTGTGAAGTTAAACAAATGTTGTGTCTAAAATAATGACTAGTATTTTTACTTTTCCATAAATTGTTCCCCTACATTGCAGTTGCAGTTATAACTTATTCACTCTTGACTTTTATTTCACCTGTTTTTCAACATGGGGTACTAGATTTCGTACCGCTGCTGGATGGGATGGGCACGATTACCTATTTACTCATATTCTAAACATATTGATTTTTTTTTACTTTATACTCCATACGACGGTCTCCTACTTAAATCCATACTATTTTAATTAATTTGATTTTTCTTTTTTTTTAAATTATTTTATCAAATTAAGTTTTAAGATGTACATATATATATATATTATTTAAGTTACAAGCGTTACACAATTAAATATACGATACTATTTTTATTTTCCGTCCCATTATACGGAAGGTAATACTTACAAGCGGGTGAGTCACAGCCAAAGTCCCTCAGCGGATAATGGGATAAAACCCCTGCCCTTTTCCGCGCCGGATGGTAATAGTGTTCCCCAAAGCAGAGGAAATGGCTTCAATATCATATCTAATATCAACACCAGGTCTCCCCAATCCAACGAAACTCTCCCTCACACTCCAATCCAAACTCTTTCTCCAAATCCTCCAACCAACGACAAATCCATTTGCCAATTTGCCTCAAAACCTCCTCTTGAATTCACGTCCAAAGAAAGTTAGGTTGTTTGCGGTGGCAGAAGGGCAAACCTCAGTGGTTTCCTCCCCGTCTTCTGAGGCTGCCAGGAGGCTTTACATTGGCAATATCCCCAGAACTGTTAACAATGACGAGCTCACAAAGATTGTTGAAGAACATGGCGCTGTTGAAAAAGCGGAGGTGCTTCCTTTTCTATTGCTCCTCCTGCCTTGTGCATATTACTTTGTTTTGCCATTGTGTTAAACTTGTTCTTTTCCCCTCCTTTCTTCCCCAGTTTGCGGCTGGAAAATGGATGTTGCGTGTTTATTCCCAAATTATGTTAGAATTCAATGACCTGCACGGAACTTTTCAATATTTTTCACTTCGACTTTTGAAGTTAGCTCCATCTTCTGATCGCAGACAGGATGTGTCATGATTCTTGTGGATTTTTCTAATTGGAATATGAGAGGCACTAAATTAGTTGATTTGGCAGAATATAAGGATAAAATAGCAACATAAGTTCATAACCGTTAGCTTTAGCATTGAATATATGTAGCTTAATAGCCACTATTGGGACTGTGTGCTGCCTGCTGAAACTTGACGAGCCACATGAGTTATAGTATCACTTGATGAGAAAAAGGAGGACAGAAAAAGGGTTCTAGTCTTTCTGAAAATGGTTGTGTGCTTATGTTTTTGTTGTAGGTGATGTATGACAAGTACTCTGGAAGGAGTCGCCGATTTGCTTTTCTTACGATGAAAACCGTGGGGGATGCAAATGCAGCAATTGAGAAACTAAATGGCACTGTAAGCCTAAATCATACTTTATTGTTCCAAAACGATGAGCAGACATATGTTGTTCTCTGTTTTTCTCATGGTGATCATTTATTGAAGGAAATTGGGGGGCGTGAGATCAAGGTAAACATCACCAAGAAACCTCTGCCACAAGTGGATTTGTCTCTCCTTCATGAGGAGGATTCTCAATTTGTTGATAGTCCCCACAAAGTTTATGTGGGAAATCTTGCAAAGACAATAACCACAGATAAACTCAAGAAGTTCTTTTCTGAGAAAGGGAAGGTACTTAGCGCTAAGGTTTCACGGGTTCCAGGGACCTCAAAATCCAGGGGATTTGGGTTTGTAACATTCTCTTCAGAAGAGGAAGTTGAAGCTGCCATCTCTGCTTTTAACAATTCGGTAAGTTGTTCACCGCTTTTGCCTTGATTTTTGTTGGACATTGGATTTGTAAATTACCCCCTGATGATGCACCAACCCTGATGTGCAATGGTTCCATAAAAACTTACATGTTCGTGCAATCTTATTCTTGCTTCTTATTGTTATTATAACACTGTTTATGCTCATTCCAATAACTTGAGAATTTATGATTTCTGGATTTATTAAGAAAACTCTTGATTTGTTGGTGGTAACCATTGGCCTGGCAGTTGCCATCTCCTTTTAGCTTATTGTCTCTTGATCAAACATGCAATTTTCATTTGATAATCTCAATCTATCAAACATATTCCTCTGCTGATATCATTTTTGGAAATCTGTTGTCCATGCGTGTGTGTTCTTCTAGTTCGGCATGCTATGGATCTTTCATTCTAGCCAGTTGATGCCTCTTGTCTCATACCTGTTATATAGTCTTTGGATCATCCTTCATAACAAGCGATGAGTTATGGCTCAAATGGTGTAATCATTTGATGTTATGTTCTTATACGCACAATGCATCTCGATAAGTCTGTGATGAGCTTCTTTAGTCCTTTGATTTTACTGGTAAGATTCACATGGACGGACAACTGCAATATGCAGTTGTTTCTTACTGACATAAAATGGTTTCTTTTTGCAGTTGTTGGAAGGGCAACAAGTTCGTGTAAACAAGGCATAGAATGGTTGGCACTGGCAGCTCCATGGCGGCTAGAGGGGGTGGTTTATCAAATCCTGTATCCATTTCGTTGCAAATTAGAGTGGTTGTTTCTCCTTATTATAAAATCAACTTTGTTAGTGCCATTGCTATAGAAAATTCTGGTTTTTTTTTCTGTCATGAGGTTCTGTAATTATATGTGGCAGAAGCTTAGTGGTGGGAATAGAGGATGAACACATTTCGTTTGGGAAGTTGATGCATATGTGATTTTTACCAAAGCGCAAAGTTGATTTGTTACTATGTCCTCAACGCTTCCCTTCTGTTCTTCTAAATAATACAATGCGAATCCTCTTGGAGCAAAAATTTAGACCCAAGAATTCGTGTTTCATGTTTTAAGTGTTGTGTAAATATAAAGTTTTAATATTTATATGAATAAATATAAATACGATATGATTAATTAATTTTAAAATAGTTTTACGTGTATTTTTATTAAATATGTAATAATATGATATGATATGTTTAACAAATTTCTTTTTTAGAGTCAAAAGTTATTAGAATTTAATCAAATGAAAAAACCATTTTCACCACATATGGTTCATCAGAGAATTTTTAATATCAGGTGTTGAAACATCATAGAACATATAATCATCAATTATGTCAAAACCTTTGTTAGTCATCCAGTCGGCTAACACATTTTCTTCTTTAAAAATATGTCGCGCTTTAACTTCCCGTTGGCCTTGAAGGAGCTGTTGAATGGTTGGAATAATATCAGAGTTAGCCCATGGCTGAAAGTGAGATGAATTGATAGCCTGCAAGACTAATATACCATCCACTTGCAGCTCAACTTTCCGATATCCAAGTTCCCAAACTAAACATAGTCCCCGGTAGGGACCTCGCAACTCTGCTCGGTAGGTTGTGCATATTCCAAGTTCAGAGACGACTCAATAAGTTCAAAGGTGCGAAATATTCAAATAAGGCATTTCATAACTCTTAAGCCTAACAGTAAGGCTTTTTCAATCCCTGACGTCAACATTAGTTAGTTTACTTGTATTAGAAGCTAAATTAAACAATTTACAACAAAAGCAAAATACTCTAAGTCTTCTGAATAAATTAACCATCTTTTTTCATTCATCTTCTCATTTGTCAACTTTTGAATATAGCATAAAGCTGAAAAATGTTTTGAAAATTCATCTTTAGGATAATCTTGCATCTTTTTCTACTAATAAATCTCTTAAATTTGTATCAATATTTGTCCATTTACTTGGGTCATAAATATTTTTAAGAATGCAATCATTTAAATTAATAGGTTGATCTGCTTCATCATGATTTCTATAACCATTTTAAATCTCCTCGTAAACCTCTTGTTCTAATATTTCATCATCATCTAACTTTTTAAGATCATTAGCACCGGAGCACTTGGCTCATTAGGTGGTGTACGGTGCTTGATCCCCCGGTTGATTCGAATCTCTCCTCCTTTAATTATATATATATATATATATATATATAAACTCTTTAAAATTATTAACTTGTTCATTTAAGGGACAATCATTAATAATTTGTAATTCACTATTTTTATTACTTGTAAATAATTTATCAGGTGCTTCATTTTGAGATTGTATTAAATTTTCAATTCTTTTTTTTTAAGCTTTGAATAACTAAATTCATATTTTCAATTTGACATATTCAAATATTTATTATGAAATATAAAAATATTTAGCTATTATAATTATCTTATATTTTTTAAATGATTAATATAAAATCGACAATCAAGATTTCTAATTCTAATAAATCAACTATCACATAAAATAAAGAAAATATAACAATATAATATACACTTTAAATTAAAATAAAAAAATCTGTAAAGATTAAAATAATAGTACCTAATTGTTGAATACTTATTACAAATTGCAAATGAGATTTATGACTTTATAAAGATAATAACATAATAAACTTTTTACGTATTCTTTAGAAAAAAATTAGAGTTAAAGGAAGAAAGAGCAAATAAGAAAAGAAAAATTCAAAAGTAGATATTATACATTGAAAAAAAATTTGATTCTATATATAAAAAAAATAGTTGTTGAAAATCATTAAATACGTTGATTGGAAATAAGAGAAACAAGTGAGAAAAAAATAACTATTTAATTAAATATATACAACTCTTAATTGATTGAAAATAAGAGAATATAGTTAAAAATTAATAGTATTTTGAGAATTTAAAAGTAATAGAAAATTAAAATTGATTAAGTATATAAATAAATAAGTGAAAAGATAAGTAATTTTATAATTATTTTTTACTTTTATATATTTTTAATATATTTAATTATATTATAATTATTATTAAATTATAAAACTTTTCAAATTCGAGACTTTCCCAAATTGAGGGCCTAAAACACTCACTTGAGTGGCATCACCCAAGGACCGACCCTTTCCAAGTTTAATAGAAAACCTCCTGCCAGCTCCCGCTCAAATCACGAATTGCTCTGCCGTGGCTGCCAAATTGACAGATCTTCTAAATGCTCCATTTGAATTCAATACCACCCAGCCAGGTGTAAGAGGTATCCAGCCAACAAGAACTTCCTCTCTTCTACTAAATTTAATATGATGTTACACGGTTA